GTTATAGTTGAAGATTAGTTAGTTATAGTTGAAGATTAATTAGGATAGAAAGTGAATTAGATACATTTTGGACTTAACAAAATAAGATAAATAATGAAATTATTTTCTCTGAATTTGTCAAATACAAATGGACTAGAAATTATTTAGACATTGTATATAGTTATTGTACTTTTGTATGTAGTTTTTCTTTTGTTAGTTATAACCTTTTTCTTTTTTTTTCCTTTTTATTAAATTAGAAAAGGGGAAATGTGGTGGTATTTTAAATAAAGTTGCCTGGGGGTCAGAGCTATTAGAGCCATAGCAAGTGCGTGGCAGTGGTGGTGTATGCCTTTAAGGACCTGGAAGGCGGTACATACAGGCAGTGATGAGGCAGTCACATGATTGGGTTTACAACCAATCAGAAGCCAGAACAGAGAGATATAGAGACAGACACACAGGAAGGAGGGCTCCTCTTTCAGAGAGCTCTCTTGGCTGAGGAGGATCCCTGAATCAGGAAGGGTGAGGCTCTTGGCCCTGACCTCTTGGCTTTCTTCTCTGAATCGGCTCTGTGTTCTTGTCTGATAAAACCGTTGGCTATATCTATACTGAATTATATCTACACCTAAGCCTGTCTTCTCCACTGCATATTAATTTTGAACATAGTCTCTGAATGCAAAGCTACTGACAGTGGAATTAGCTGCCCTCAGCATTGACATGGTCAGGTCAGTCTCCTCCCAAAGAAGTCAACACACTCCAGGAAAGAGGAATCCTAGCATGGTGGCCTCTGAGAACAGCTGGCTGAGAAGCAGGCAGGACTAGGCATGTTCTAGAGTGCACAGTGAGTGCAGGAGAGAATGAGTTGTCTGGGATTGTCCTTGCCATTCCTTCACTGTTGCTCAGATTGACTATGGGATAGACATCTGCACAAAGGAGGTGTTGGTATGGAAAAATATATCCAAGTGAGGGACAACAGAGAATTCTCGAAGGAAAAATCATGAGCAAAGATGTTGTGTGTTTACGAACAAACAAGAAAGCATTAAATTATTATAGAAATTTAAGATCACAAAGACCGATCAAAGTAAGAATTAAAAAAAAAATGGTGAGTGGTGTTGAAACTGATTGTCAGCAATACAGCAAGGGCAGAGAAGCTCCTTTAACTAAGTCCGAACAGACTTCATCTACCTATCAGCAATGATAGGTCATTGGTCCTACAAAGCTTCTCTGCTAAGGGTCAGAAATTCTGGGCCCTCACCATGTCAGTGTTCTTCTACCATTCACCCCTTCTATACCCCACTACTTGCTGGTTGATGCCCCAAGACTGTTTAAGATATATACAATACATTGTGTTGCATCTTAACAATGAAACATCTTCTGCTTCTGCTATTCATCACATAGTGTAAAAATGCTTACATTTTCTTCACTCAACTTTTCAAGTGAACATGCAAAACACACCAGTCCATTTTCTTTCCCTGACTCTTCACAGCTCTGCTGTATCTCCCACCCCCAGTTTTTCTTCTGTCCATGGTGTCCCTGCTGATTAGAATGCCCTCTGTCCTTTGTCTGATATGCAACCAAAGGAATACCTCCTTCAGGACTCTGCTCAGGACAAGCTCTGTCGACATTCCCACTATCACACTCCAGCTCTACAGAAAGACAGAGTGGCTCTCATTTCCCAAGGTGGCAATGTGCAGTGCCTGTACCCCACGGAAGGTGGCTACTCTCTGTTCTTCCCTTGCCCCAGACTAGAAGGTGGCAAGGTGCAAATTTGTGGGCTCTGCCATGCCTGCATCCCGCTGAAGGTGGCTACTCTCTGCTTTTCCCTTGCACAGCACCAGAAGGTTGAAGAGAGGTCCTAGATCTGCATGGCCATCGGCTCATTAGTGTCTAGGAGAATGTCTAGGATACAACAGATGCCAAATCTATGTGTATTCAAAAACAAAAACAAGAAAGGGAAAAACCCAACAGCTTTAGCTTTGCCCTTTCTCATGGACTTCAGTGATGACCTTACTTAAACCCTTTCTGGAAACCTCCATGAAGTACACTAGTGGCAGATTGCTTGGTATCAGTCTCAAACCTATCACTTTCTGGTTGTGTCATACTGATACAAGCCTATTTCCTCTGTCATATTGAGTTATGTCCATTAATAACATCTGTTATGCGATAAATTGTATCAAGGTAAAATGAGGTGATTAGGGTGAGCCCTAATCCAAAGTGCCTGCTTCCCTTCACAAACCGAAGTCAGGACACATATGCAGAAGGACAATGCCAAGGAACACGAGGAAAATACAGACATTTCTACCCCAGAAAGAAGGCTGGCAATATTGCAAAGAGCTCTCAGAATGAAGTCAGACTGTCAGTACATTGGTTTGGTACATGTAGACCTCAGACTGTGAGGTAGTCTATTTGCATTGTTGGAGGAAATCATATTTGGTTAGTGAACCTCTAGCAAACTAATACTACACCACAGTCTCCTGGGACCCAATTTAAAATGCTCTCATTTTGTGATTCCCAGTTCCCAGGTATTGGAACTTTGACAATTGCCACTAAGTGACTCTTACTCATTTGGTCATATGTCCCACAACCACCAGGGCCATAGAGGTCTTTACTTCTTCTCCCAGAGGAGAGCTATTGTTCCCCTCGTCTCCCCATCTATGCAATATGCATAGCACATGTCCTGAGCATGCCACCCCTTTCCAGTTCATGATTTGCAAGCCCTTCTCCTAATATATGCCTAACTGTAATCAAGTCCTTTGTCATTGTTCATCTTCATGTCATTTTTCAATTTAGGAGGCATGTTTAAGTATTTGTTGTATGCCAGACTAGTACGTAATAGAAAAGAAATAAATTCTAGATATTACTATATTTGGTTGTTGTTGTTGTTTTTGAGACAGGGTTTCTCTGTGTAGCTTTGGAGCCTTTCTTGGAACTCACTCTGTAGCCCAGGCTGGACTCGAACTCACAGAAATCTGACTGCCTCTGCCTCCTCAAGTGCTGAGATTAAAGGTGTGTGCCACCACCGCCCAGCGACATTACTATTTTTTTTTTTTTAACATTTCCTGGTTGTCAGATCTCACCAGGTACTTTTGGAGGCTTACTATGATATAACTTTATTAATTTGTATTATACACTTCATATATTGAAATCAACATAATCTCATTTCTTTGATGATCAAATGGAGTCTCAAAACATTAAATAATATCCATGTAAAATGTGACCATAATGGATCTCAGATGAACTTAATATATCTTTTCTAGGGTTTCTCCCTGTGAATTTATACCCACGTTATAAAGTATCAAGTATGCCTTGTTCATAAAATCTCTGATCACCCTGGACAGAAATACCAGAGATACTTCAACATTGTTATTCATTATTCCAGTTTATATTTTATGCCTCTATATACTCTCTGTCAATTTTCTAGAAGACTTCATACTTTTGAAATGCTGCAGTTTGCATTTAAAGTGTCCCTTGAGGCTGATTTAACCGAATACTTAGTCCTAAATGCAATGTTCAGAAGGGGAATGATCATGCAGTGTGGGCTTTACTTCATCATTGGATTAATCCTGGACCCTTCTTTGGTGGCATTATTGCCAGAAAAAGAAACTTTTCAAGCTGGGATCTAATGGGAGGAAATATTTGATGTTAACTGTTAATACATTTTGTTATAACAATCTATTAACAGATTTTGTTATGCAACTTTGAAGGTCACAGAGGAGAATTTTATTGGAGACTACACCTTTTCCTAAGCTTGTTTCTGGGCCTTCCTGCTTCCTGCTCATGATGATATGAGCAGATTTCTTCGACTACCTGTGCCCAAACATGGAGCTCAGCTTCCCTCAGGCCTAGAGCTCATGGATTGAACACCTCTAGAACTGGGAGACCAACTGATCCTTCATGCTCTAAGGTTCTTTTCCTCAGACACTTTGTCACAGACGGAAAAGGTGAATAACACATGAATCAAAGGGCCAACTATAAAACAGGACATGTTTTTCTGTTACAGAAAAGTCTAGTCTTCATTGGGAATTCATCATTTGTTAAACCCAAGGTCAAAGTTCTCGTTTGTGTTTAAATTCACATAGCAAAATCTACATGAAAATCAACTGGTATTAGTTGTCCAGAATTTAAAGTTTCAAAATCCTTAATAGGCACCAAATTATATAGTATCAAAGAACACATTCTAAGTTGAAATCTTACACTGAGTGTAAATAGTTAATGAAATAAATATAGGAAAATGAAGGGAAAAAATACACAATTAAAGCCCACAAAGCTAAAAACAGTATGTGAAAGTATGTAATGAAATGAGCAATTCTATCGTTTAAGTGAAATTATACACTTAACTAAGGTTAAAAAAAAAAAAAAAAGGCAAGGATCTATTGCAAATCAATCACAAACATTTTAGGATACAGAAAGACTATCTGAATCACTACAATCTCACTAGTACTTTTACCAAATCTCATTACATCTAGCCACATTAACAGATACAATTAACATTTGCAGACATGACATCACATTATGCTGAGTGGCCCGCACTGCAGAGTTTCAAAGAGTCTTAACTGTTTGTCTTGGTACAGATTCCCAAAGCAGAAGTGGAGCTGTGGTGTGTTTTGTGGAATCATTTTGCTTTGGCAATCAGAGACTGATTCTAGTAAATCTTTTCTCAGAAATACAATTTTAACTTGCAGTAACAACATCAACAACACGAGAGGCTTAGCTACACACTTGTGAATCCAGTCCTAAATTTTCTAGATTCATTCAGGTCAACAGCACTTTGAAAACCCATAAGATTTCTGAAACTTGTCCTGGCCATGTGCCTAAATATAAAAGTACAGACATTCTTGTAATTAGCTGGGCAATATGGGGTAAATGAGATGAACAAGCAATTCACCCTGTGTCCTCCATTAGTGATAATGAGAGTTGTGCAGTTAATCCTCTCTCTCTTCCTTTTGTTTTCATGTCCTTTCCGGGGTCCATTCCAAAACATTTGCTTCTTGTCCCGTGCCCCACCCAGGACAATACTTACTTACCTCACTTATGAAGGATTTGGCTGTGGCAGGATTCATAACAAGGATGGCTCTCCTAAGAGTGTCTCGGTAGCGATTCAACTCCTCTATCCTCATGGTGTCAAAGAGGGTGGTGATCATTTTATTGATGTTGTTTTCCACCTTTTGAAGGGCAACGTCCATTCCCTGCTGGGATACTTTGTCCAAAAACTCCTGTATCCCACGGATATCTAGGAACATTACAACACAGGAGAAAAAAATCTTTTCACTTCTGAGCAGTTTCTTGTTCAACAAGGCATAAATTCTCAGATTTATTTATGATTTGGTTTAATTAATATCTTTACATGTAAAAACAGGAATTAATACAAGGGGATGTATTTCTATCCACTTACCATTCCAAGTTAATTAAATAGTGGGGAAAATTGGTTCACGGTAGAGAGAGGTGGAGAAGAGGTTCATCTCAATAAAGCATGGATAATTTCTTCAGCATTAAAGAGGAATAAACAGAAACAGTCTAGACATTAATTCTGTCTGTTAACAGCTTTAGTACTGAATCTCTTGGTTTTCATGGTGGAAATGGATTATATCTATCATCCAATTTTAGCCTATCTTGGTAAATCAAGGTTACCTCTTCAGAGGGAGAAATGTTACAGTAGCAATGGAGACCCATTAAGGGAAAACTATTTCCTCTTGATCAAATGAATGAAATCTACCTCTGACCTGGGTAGAGTCCTGATTTTTCTAACTACACAAAAGATAATTCAATTGAGCCCCTTGGTTGAGAGACGATCCTAAGGAAGGCAGTTTCACCTAGTGCCAAAAGAAAGAGATGAGAGAAATAATTATCCCCTTAATTAGGTAATGTAGTTTCCTCTCCTGTGTGTGGTACAGTCACTACAGGACTGCCAGGATCCTGTTCCATCTCTCCACCTTTTAGCTTCAGGAGGTATAACTTTATTTTTCTTCCTTTCTGTCTCTTTCTTTTGGATGCCAGACAGAGCCTAAGTGCGGTGATATTTTGTTTGTTCTCTAACAAAGCTTGCCTGGAGATCAGAGTGGGGAGCTTGCCACTAGAGGCCAGGCAATGGTGGCACACACCTTTAATCTCAGCACTTGGGATCTCATGCCTTTAATACCAGCACTTGGAAGAAGGAAACAGGAAGTGATAAAGCTGGGTGGAAAGAGGAAGTGATGAGGCAGGGTGGAGACAGGAGCTCAGCCTTTTCAGTCTGAGGATTCCTAGAGGTAAGAAGTCTTTCTAGTGCCTGGCTGCTCTGCTTCTCTGATCTTTCAGCTTTTACCCTGTTATCTGACTCCGGGTTTGTATTAAGATACTTAGAATTCATGATACACCTAAGTATGTTTTATCTGGTACTTTGGGCTTTTTTTGTTTCTTCACTTTTACCATGTAGCTGTTTGTAGGACCTCCACACATAACTCAAAGACATGGTCTTTCTCTGTTTTTCCTGTCCATAGCCCTCCTCTCTGAATAAGCACAGATTTACAGCTTTCCCACCTTCCAGCTTTTGTTTCAAACTCTAGTAAAATTGTTTTTGCTTCAAAAATAAACAAAACATACCCCACTATTTTTCCTCCAATTTCTTATATCATGGAAGCCATTCATTTCATTTATCATAATCCATAATCACAAAATGTGTTACTATCATTACTGTGGAGAAATTATGTTAGGTCAATTAGAAGGAAGATCATAATTAAAAAGTGAAATTAAGAGAGTGAAAAATACTGTCATTCATAACAAATGAATATCACTAAATCAACATTCATAATATAACTAGAATACTTTGGGATGTTTCCTTCCAAGGGTCTCAAGTCACTCAATGCTTACAAAAAACAAACTACATTATCAAATATTTAGATTTAAATATCCAGTAGGAGATAAGATAATTTATTTTTAGTACTATGGAGGTGTGTTGGCATCATGTGTATAAATAATTGAAAATGTATCTTAAGTATTTTTGAAATTACTACCCAAGGTTTTGAATGTATGGTGACCTTCTAAATATTTATACATCAAATTCAAATATGAAAAGTTCTCAAAAGTTTTCAAATCAAAAGTTCTGTGTTCTTTTCATGTTTAAGTAAAGGAAATAAAACACAAGTCAAAAATAATTATCAATAATTTAATTTTACTAGTCCACAACTTATATTTTTTATTTTGTGCCCATGGCATGAAATTAGGACTTTATCTCAAAATTTCTAATTGTGTGTGATTGCATTCATGCAAAATTTGCCTCTCAAGTGAAATAATTAATTTAAAAGCAGTAAGTAAGCTCATATGACAAGAACTAAATAGCTCCCAACATAGAAAGTGATATTTATGCATAATAAAAATTTGTGTTTGCAAAGTTACAAATTAATTTTTAAAATTTGTGCTTTTATGATTGATGTCAGTTTTAAAACTTCACAGTAGTGATATGTTCATCTCTGTGATAATTCTGTCTGTATACATTTTACCTTTCAGTCTGTATTCTTAATTATGTTATAAACCTGAGCTATCAGTAGAAAAGGACAAAAGGCTCAGTGGACACAGCAGAGCAAGAAACAGAGGTGTGGGAATAATGAAGGTAAACAGCCGAGTCTGAAATATTTAACAATACAATGCTGACAGGTGGCCTGGGCAGGGTTCAACCTAATGAAGCACAGCAGACCCAGGTCTATAAATAATATCAGGAGTATGAACACGCAAAGCAGTGTTCTCAAAACTTTGGTGTCAGTCACAATCACTTGAGAGAGAATTAAAAAACAGCCCGGGTCTATCTCAGAACTAAGAACATAATTTTAATTTTGAATTCTAAAGTTTTAGTCTATTTTTATTTGAATCAGTTAAAGATTCACATACATAAAATATAAAAACAAAATGTACATTGAAAAGGACCTGAGATCCTCCAGATTGCTCACTCTCTGAACTTTGATTCTTACAGTAAATATTGGTGCAACTTAATTCCTACACTTGGAAATAAAAATGTTTCTTTAAAACTATTCACTGTCAAGGCAATATTGGTATACTCCTTTAATCCCAGCACTTGGGCGGCAGAGGCAGATGGATCTCTGTGAGTTCAAGGCCATAACTTTGCAACTTAAGGTAGATTTCTGTTATAGAGGAATCAAGCAATAAGTGTTTTCTTCATCTGAGGATGATACAGCTGATTAAGAGCAGCAACTGCTACATGTGAAAAGAGTCAGATCCAAATCATGCTATTAGCAGCTGTGTATAAAAGATTCATTAAAAGAAAGAGTAGGCCTTTGGGTTTGTTAATTAAACATGAACATAATCAACCATCTCAATTATTCAGCCACATTATCTTCGTTCTGATTTCGTTAGTCAGTGAGCTAAGTTCCAAAAGTTACAGAAATAAAAGCACATGGTTCTTGACCTCAAGGAGCTGCCAGACTGATTGCACCTGTCAGTTGGGCTATTTATTAATTACAGTATGTTTTCCAGCTGCTGTTAGTCTTGCTTACCAGATAAATACATAAGACCATTCATCTACTGAGTAATTAAACGTAGGATTATGGGCAAAGGCATTCTCCTTTGAGCACCACAGGGGTGTGTGTGCTCAGCAGAAGACTGATCTCTTTTCCTTAGTGCCCACATCCCAAACCTTATAATCTGTGGATGAACCAAATTATATTCCAAAGAGGGATCAAGCCTGATGATGGGATTGAGGCAGTTCATCCAGTGAGATCAAAATAGAAAGGTAAACTTCATAACTTGCGTAAGTCCAGTATCATCAGGAAGGCCTAAAGTTGGAAGAGAAGCATAGGAAAAGAAACAACTAGGGGTGAAGGTTTGGATAGGAGCAATGTGGATGATTGATCTGAGGAAGAAGTGAAGAAAGGTGGGTGGGCGTCTATGGAAGCCGCACAAGGAAAGGAAGTGGATTCTCCACCAGAACTATGAGAAGAGAGCATGCTTTGCCCATACCTTGTATTTACCATGCTTAGATCTGATGACAGATAGAAGTCTATGGGTCTATAACTTGTGTTGACCCTCCAAATTTGTGATAATCTCCTGTACCAGCAATAGAAATTATGCTTTATTCTTTAAGTCAGCATGTTTCAAATTAATATCCACTGAATTTAATTTCAGAATCACTTGGAAATGCTTCTGGGACTTTATAGCCTTATTGCACTACGGTGAGCTCTGAAATCCTCCTGACAGAGCCCATGATGACCCCTGAGAAAACAGTCTGGGAAATAGTTCTTCGATGCGCCTGGCTCCGCCTCCTGAGTGTTGGGATTAAAGGTGTGCGCCACCACCGCCAGCCAAAGCTGTAGTCTTAATTTTCAGGTGTAAAATGACCTTCTACATCATTTCTAGTCATCCTTGTTATTTTTCTTTTTGGAAACGATTTCTTTGTGTCAGGGAGACACACTGCATTTGATGTCAGAAAACCAGGGTTGGGTCGGTAAATTGCTTCTACAGTACAGCTCTGTTCACTTGGAATCACTTTCATAATTGATGTCTCCTGTTTTCATTTTCTCAGTGTTTGAGTTCTCTTCACAGAGCAAGATGCCATTTTTTACATAAGAAATAACCCTGGCTTCATCTTTTGCTTTCACATGTGTCCAGCCTTCTCCATTCTACCCCTAATAATCCTATGCTCCCAGGCTAGTCAGCCTGAGTCCTGGGTTCTTACAAAACAACTGAAACTGAGGAAAGCCATAATGTAAATGAATGGCTTTTCTTGTGCACTGGTTGTAATGATGTAGTTTTATGACTACAAGAGTCAGAGGATCTGGCTAGACAAGTGAAACAGAAAGCCAGCCTGTTCCCTATCTAGAGCAAAACTCCACCAGTCAGTTACAAATTAAAAGAGAAGGAAGAGGGTAAGAAAAAGAGGAAGAAGCAGAAATGAAGGAACAGAAGGTAGCAAGGGAGCTTTAACTTTTAGTGTTTGACTAATGTCATATACGTACGCAAGCACACACGCGCGTGTACACACACACACACACACACACACACACACACACACACACACACACACCACAGCCCAAGTAATTTGGTGATGAAGAGGAAGGCATGGCTGGTTCCTGTCTTTGAGGTGCTTCCAGTTTACAAGGAGAACGAACAGAAATCAAAATCACACTTTAATCGTATAGTGCCTGATGAAGTCACTGCAACAGAGCAGCAAAAGCTTCAGGGAAGTGTGATCCTACATATGCAAACATCCACAACTTTATTATATTTCACATGAGTACTAGGTTT